GGACTCCAATACAAACTGCAGGAGCTGGGCCAAGACTGATGAATGCAAGAAGAATCCAAATTACATGTTGCAGTTTTGCAAACAGAGTTGCAATGCTTGTTGATGGAAGATACAATATATCTGTGTGTTTTGTTGTTGCCTCCAACCCATTTCTCTGGAGCACAGGGAACAGAAATACAATCCCTGTTTTCTCAGCTCATCAGTCTTTTTGTTTCAAACCCATACTGTCCTTTTCTCATTACGCATTCATTCAGAAAGAGCTCAACACTGGAAATGAAAAAAAAATTCAGGCATACCAATAAAAGTAAGCCAATTTTCCAAAACACATCAAGGAATACACATCAAGGAATAAAGAAAACTTATCACTACATCAAGAAAATAAACGAAGGGAAAACTTCCGGCATAAGATAAAATTATGTTAAATTCCGGCATTCCTGGGAGGAAGGGTTTTGGTGGAGCTGATGACATTCATCCCGGGCTTCTTAACTGGGCCATCAAGCTTAATCTCCTGCACTATCAGGGCCTTGCCCTGAGGCGCATACCCATCTTCCGGCATGTGTAAGGAATCATCTTCCGAGGTGTCAAGGTTGCCAGCTCTCCGGCTCTGTCGCATGGCATTCACATTGTCCAGCAAGTGGCTGGCCCGGATCCCAAACCCTCGCACCATGGCATCAACGTTGATCTTGTCAGTGTACCCACGTCTGTCCAGCATGTCTGCCCAACGGAGGTCCAGGGCCATGAGCAGCCCTCTGAACCTGGCAATGGACTCAATGACCTGGAATGTTGTGAAAAATACACTTATTGAAACTCTCTGTAGGTCGAATTTCAAGGAACCAGCAAAGGTACTTTCCTGTTATTTCAGTACCCATTTTTCTTTGTCTGGTATTTTGCACGAATCCAGTATTTGTGCAATGAAAAATTAGTTGATCGCGTTAGTTGAAGAGAAAAGGAACTATAGGACTACCATCCAGACAAATCTTTATTCACCTCCATAGGTCAAGTGGCACTTTCCTAGACTGCACTACCATCCAGACAAATATTTAGGACAAGTTCATAATCATGACAACCCACCAGAAACTGAATTTATTTTTCTGCATTCTGCTGAAACTGATTTTGAGGTTATTAACATAATATAACCTAACCTAACATAACATACGTAATATGTATAATTAACATAGCCTAGGTTATTAACATAACCTGACCTAACCTAACTTTACCTAACTGCCTCCCAAAATCAGTTTCAGCAGAATGCAGAAAAATGAAATTCACAGTTTCTGGTAGGTTGTTGTGATTATGAACTCATCCTAAAGATTTGTCTGGATGGTAGTGCAGTCTAGGAAAGTACCAGCTGGAGAAATTTTTTTTGCGGTTAGGTGAAGTTAGGTTAGGTCAGGTTAAATTGGTCATTTAGATTACTGACAACATGTACAGTATTGTACTTTGTGCGCCAAACTCAACAGTTATATAAAATAAGGCATGGAAAGTAGGTGCAGCAGTACTGAGATAACAGGATAGTACCAAAAATTTAACTTAGGCAAGGGTTGGGTTATATAAAATGCATGTCTCATCATGGAATCAAGCATTTTCATTGTGGGAACCATTAAAGAATTGGACCAACTTGTACATGGGGATATTATAGGCCTGAAATTGCTTCTAAAAAACAGTTGACTGGCGGGCACTGAACTTATTGGAGACAGCTGGCTTCATTTTCCCAATTTAGTCTCTCTCATATTTTCAAAGCAAATGAAATTCCATTTTTTATTGATTTTTTTCTTTCCTGTCGTAATAAAATAATAGCCTAAAGGACTCAAAAATTTGAATTATGGAGGTTTTCAATGCATTGCTTTGAAGGAAATTCAGACAGGGACTGAAAAATATTGCAACTTATACTATGGATGAGGTATTTGACTTAGAGAGGTTTGACTAAGTGAGGTTCGACTGTAGATAAAATACTCATAAATCTTGAGGCCTGTGGTTTTCCCTCCTTTTTAACAAATACTGGTGGACTGTACAACAATAAAATTCAAGAAAACATTAAAAAAAATTCTGCAGACAGAATGTTTAAGTGAAAAATCCTGTGGGGTCAAAATTTTTCTTTGCAGCAAAAATAGTTCTACACAGAATCATTGCAGAGAGAATCCATATTTATCTAATACAGTACCTGTAATGTAAATTTGTAATGCACCATGGATAAAAAAAAAAATAACCCACGGAGAAAGCATCTGGCAATGCAGTGTTCAGATTGGATAATTAGAAAATCTATCTAGTAAGGTCTGTCCAAATCGCCAAATTTCTGCGTGTAGGCCATTGGTGCGTTACTGAGGCCGCGCATAATAAAAAAACTGTAAATTTTCCATTTCGAGGAGGCAATTGAACAATACTCTTGGAGAGCGACACCTATGAAATTCAGAAGTAAACCTCTTACTCACAGCTCCGTAAATATTTGTCCCAGGGTCGCCCTCGCACGTGCGCTCCAACTCACTCCTCACCCGAGCCTGAATTATAGCCATTTCCGATTCCGCAAACTCGTCATCATTGGACTTGGAACTGTCCGTGGCATCATCGTCGACAGCGTCGTCCCTGTCACACGGATCTGCCAACCCGAGCCTCTCCAGATGCAACCTTCGCAGCATTTTCCCACAAAATTTCAAACTGGTTAAAAATAAATGAAAAAAGAAAACTTCGCTGTTGAAGTTGTTGACAAAAAT